TTTTTCATGTGCCGATTGGCCATTTGTATGTCTTCAGTGGAGAATTTCTTCTTTAGGTCTTCTGCTCATTTTTGGATTGGGTTTTTGTTTTTTTAAGTTGTATGAGCTGTTTATATATTAACTTATCCTTCCCCATCCTTTCCACTTTGGTAATCATAAGTTTGTTTTCTATGTCTGTGAGTCACTTTTTGTTTTGTAAACAAGTTTGTGTCATTTTTCTAGATTCCACATCTTAGTGATATCATATGGTATTTTTCTTTGTCTTTCTGGCTTACTTCATTTAATATGACAATCTCTGGGTCCATCCATGTTCCTGCAAATGGCATTCTTTCATTCTTTTTTATGGCTGAGTGGTATTTCATCGCATATATATACACCATAACCTCTCTTTCCTATCATCTGTCGATGGACATTTAGGTTGCTTCCATGGCCTGGCTATTGAAAATTGTGCTGCTATGAACATTGGGGTGCATATATCTTTTTGAATTAGAGTTTCCTCCAGATACATTCCCAGGAGTGGGATTGCTGGATCACAGGGTAAGTCTACTTTTAATTTTTAAAGGAATCTCCATACTATTTCCCATAATGGCTGCAGGAAAATACATTCCCACCAACAGTGTAGGAGGGTCCCCTCTTCTCTGCACCCTCTCCAGTATTTATCATTTGTGAACTTTTTAATGATGGTCATTCTACTGGTATCAGATGATACCTCATTGCAGTTTTCACTTGCATTTTTCTAATAATTAGCAACACTGAGGATCTTTTCACGTGCCTGCTAGCTATCTATATGTCTTCACTGGAGAAATGTTTGTTAGGTTTTCTGCCCATTTTTTGATTGAGTTGTTTGTTTTTTTGCTATTGAGTTGTATGAGCTGTGTATTCTGGAAATTAAGCCCTTGTCAGTCTCCTCATTTGCAAGTATTTTCTCCTGCTTTGTAGGTTGTCTTTTCATTTTGTTATGGTTGCTTTTGTTGTGTGAAAGCATGTAAGTTTAATTAGGTCCCATTTGTTTATTTTTGCTTTTATTTCTATTGTCTTGCTAGGCTGACCTGGGAAAACATTGCTATAATTTATCCCCTTTCTTTTTAACTTCAAGATTTACTGATTCTAAGGTAAATCCTTTCCTTTTTTTCTTCAATTTATTTTAGATTTAAAATTTTTATATTTACTATTTCACCAATATTGATTTTTAAAAATAAAACACAATAGATATAATTACCAATAATTGTACTCACAAAACATAACTGTTAACTATTAGAAAATATTTTGTCATTTAACCATATTTTTATATATTACTACATTGTGTAATATTTGTACGTCATATTTTAATTTGATGTTACATAACATGCATTTCCTTTCACATAAAATTACTTCATATGTAAACTTGATTATTGCCTAATATACCTTCATGTAAACAATATATTTAAAAACTTCTATGTTAGTTAACTAGGTAGATTCTTGTTGAATAATTATTTTCAAGTGATTGCCAGTATCAAGAAAGTTGTCATAAACATAACTATACATAAACTTTTGTTTATGCTTTTGTTTTGTTTTGTTTTCAATATGGAATAGGATCTTGAAAAATTATTATTTACATTTAACATGCTTCTGGCCAGGTTGAATGTGTACAAAGTATTAAGAAAATATATGTTATAAATACTAGGGTTATGTTTTTCAACTCTACTGAAAATAATTAAATGAAAATTTCTTAAATTAAGATGTCAGTGTGAACTAAATTATAGTTTAAATCACAGATTTTTTAGCAAGCAGAAATTTTTACATGTTTTTATTTCTGCAAAAATGGTTACCTTCGTCCAATAGCTAAAAGTACACAAGCGCCCTCAGCAATGCTTAGCTGTCAAAAAAATTCAACATGGGTACAATCCTGAGTAAGGCAGGGTATTAGAGGTTAATGAGACCATCTCAGCCCCGTCAGCCTATGACCCTCAAGGACAAGCTTGTAGTCCAACAAATTCAGGGTTTTTTGTTTGTTTGTTTGTTTGTTTGTTTTTTGACACATTGCAAGTAGGGAGACCAGAGAGACAGTACAGTGTCTTATCAAACAAATGAAAATGCAGAGTTATTACAGGATTTACGGTATAAACTGGTTTGGGGAAAAATCAGTGTTTTGTTGAGCTCTAAGCAAGGGTTATCTATAAAAAAGATCAAAATAAGTTCTTGAATCTTGCTTTAGGATTCAGCTGTCTGAGTTGAGAATGGCTGGCTAAGCTGTCCATGTTCTCATTTGATGAAGTTACTTTAAGAATTTTGATTTGAAAATCTATAATTTCCTACTTAGGTATATGCAACTAAAATTAGATGATCAGAGAAATGATTAGATAAAGAAGTTGTGAGATTATATATATATAGTTATATATAATATATATATAGTGAGAGAGAGAGAGGAATACTGCTTAGCCATAAAAAGAATAAAATAATACTATTTGCAGCAACATAGATGGACCTGGAGATGGTCATACTAAGTGAAGTAAGCCAGAAAGAGAAAGGAAAATATCGTATATCACCACATATACGGAATCTAAAAAAAATGACACAAATGAACTTACTTACAAAACAAAAATGGACTCCAACACAGAAAACAAACTCAGACATGGTTACCTGGGGGAATCAGGGTTGGGGGTGGAGGGATAAGTTGGGAGTTCAGGGTTTGCAGATACTAACTACTATATACATATAAAATAGATAAACAAGGCCCTACTGTATGGCATAGGGAACTGTATTCAATAACCTTGTCATAGCTTATAATGAAAAAGAATATGAAAAGGAATACATATATGCATATGTATAACTGAATCACTATGCTGATACCAGAAATTAACACAACATTGTAAACCGATTATACTTCAATAAAAAACATTGGATGGTTAGAGAAGTTTTCACTGAGAAGAGAATAGTTGGCTGAGACTTATATAAATAGAAAGCTACAGAAAAAACAGGCAGAGAGAGAATTTTGGGCACAGGAAAAAGAAAGTTCAAAGGGCCTAAACCTATAATGAGATTGAAGAGTTAAAAGGAAAGAAAGGGTTGCAGCAAGGTAGTTGTGGAGCTGAGGTAGGAGATAAAATAGGTGATATAAAAAGGAGACCAGTATGGTAGGTCCAAATGCAAAGTGTAAAATTTGAAGATTTGGAAAATCACTGGGCAGGTGTAGGTGGAAATTGATGCCATGGAAGCAGAGTAGACAGTTCAGGGTCAGAACTGTGAGCCATTTTCAAACGCCATGTAAAGGTTGAAAGAAATAAAGAGATAAAAATGACCATGGACAACTTAAACACACAAATTGCACCATTACTGCCCATGTAACAAGGCCATGCAATGCAGAGCGTAGGGTGATGTGCCACCACGGTCCCTTCAAGAGAAGCACTGAGTAACTGGTTGCAGTTGCAGGGACTTAGCAAATATCACAGGAATGACTGGATTCACTGTGACTGAACTGGTGGAGTGAAAAGAGTCTGGAAATTCCTGATATTCTTTAAAATTATGATTGTGTTTTGGGAGAAAAATGTGCAGCTGTCAGAAGCACACCATACAAGATAATTAGGAAACTAAGTAATGCTTCTGTCTTGTTGGTATAATGGAAATTCTGTACCACAAGAGAAAAACAGAAAGCTGAGTCAACATTTATTAGGTTCAGGAGTATAATCTTTAAAAACACCAAGGTAAGCTGGTTCATTTATTTGTGTATATTATCAATTCAGGTAAGACTCAAAAAAAAAGAAAAAAAGACATCATTTTGCATTATATAGATGAACACAAGTTGGGAAATCTTTAAAATTCAAAATTAAATGAATCTCCAAGTATAATGAAAAAGGCTTCTGACATTTTTTTTTTTGTATTCAGAGGAAAAGTGTAGAAATAATAGATCTTATTGACCCAAGGACATACAAATTTGTTCTCTTCAGTCAAAATGTTATTGGTTTGTTACTTTTATGCTCTCAAGGCAAGCGTTAATTAGTCTCTAAAATTTTTGTTTTGGGTATGATATACTAGGACACAACATGATAATGTTTCCATTGTGGCAAATAGAAAAAAATAAATAAATTGCAAAAATCATATATTAAGCCATCAGAGAGCTAGGAAAGTAACAGACACAAGATAAATAAAACTTCAAGAGCCTGGAGAACCATCCAAAAGAAAGCTGCCAACCACTTCTTGCCCCAGCTGCTATTTGGTGATTCTGGAAGTGGGCTAAGGCAAGGATCAATCTTGTCCTGGGGAGGGAGTTTCTCCTGGGGGAAAGAGAAGCCAGCAGAGCTTTTAGCAGCCATACAGCACTGCAGTAAAAATTTCAAAACCTGGAGGCCTCAAATGCATAGCTGTTTTTAACTACGGGACATTTGCTGAGTATCGTTGGCTGTATAGGTGCTGGGAACTAAACCAAGAGATTTAAAAAGCAGTAAGACATCTCCTGAATTCCTGTGACTCCTGAGACAGAAAAACCAACCAGTGTGAGAAGGCTGACTAGACTATATTCTAACCTCTCATTTCTGTCATTTTCATCTTCTGAAGCTGCAGAGTTGAGTCTAACAGGCCAAGTTAAGAGATCTCTCATAGGAAGAACTGAATCTTCCGCAGTTTCTAAGACTGAGGAGAAAAGGGTCTTTCAGGATCTTAGTTTAAATCTCTGAATACTTCTGTCCTAGAAATAAGAGCATAGAAGACAAAGACTGAGTGTGACTAAAACTGAAACCTGGCCTTGACTCAGGCCAAAGCTTCACTGGAGTGAAGTGAACAGCTGCTCACCGTATCTGTGTAACAGAAGATAGAAAAAACAAACACTTCTGATAGAGGATAACACTGTCTGTAGCCTCTACAGATTTTTTATTAGCATAGTAAGTATAAAACTAAAAAGTACTAGACATAAAAAGAAGAAAAACTTTATAATCAGTGATCAAGAAAAAAAACTGAATAGCAGACTGGTGCTAAAGCTCACAGAGAGAATTACTGAGAAAGTACAATGTTAGTTTCCATCATCACATTTATTTCTGCTTTCTAAAGAACACACGAACCACCTGGTCCCTGATCTGTTTGGTCTTGACCCCATAAATTATGGGATTCAGCATAGGTGGAGCCAGAATATAGACATTGGCCAGCAGGACATGGATATGGGGTGAGATGTGATGTCCAAATCTCTGAGTGAGGACTGAAAAGATGCCAGGTGCATAGAAAAGGATGATGACACAGATATGGGCACCACATGTGTTGAGAGCCTTGTGGTGAGCATCTTGGGTTGGAATGCAGAAGACAGCACGGAGAATCAGCACATAAGAAATAAAAATTAGTACAACATCTATGACCAAAGTTGACATTAGGACAGAAAAAACATACCAAATGTTTACGTGTATATCATCACAGGAAACATGAGCCAAAACAATGTGCTTACAAGCCGTGTTTGGGAGGATGTTACTCTGGCAGAAAGTTAGCCTCTTCAGAGGAAATACTATGGGCAAAATTGTACCATAACTTCTCAAAAAGATAGTCACACCAATTTTCCCGATCAGTGCATGTGTAAGAATAGTGATGTATCTCACTGGGTAGCATATGGCAATGTAGCGGTCAAACGCCATCACCAGCAAGATCCCTGACTCAGAGATGAAGGTGGAGGAGAGGAAGAATACCTGAGTAATGCAACGATCAAGAGAGATCTCCCCAGCACAGAACCAGAAGATGGCCAGGGTCTGAGGTACTGTGCACGTGGAGAGGACAAGGTCTGCTCCGGCCAGCATGCAGAGGAAGAGGTACATGGGCTCGTGGAGGCTGCGCTTCGTGAGGATAATGCTGACGAGCAGACTGTTCCCAAGCAGGGCGATGGTATAGGAAATGAAGAATGGGATGGAAATCCACATATGCTGATCCTCTAGACCAGGGATGCCCAGTAAGTAGAAGACTGTGTGGCTAACACCAGTGTGGTTTAAGGCAGCCATGTCTGATAAAACCACTAGGACTCCACCATCTATGTGCAGAGACGGGGAAAAAAATGCAGATCACATTCAAAGATTTTCTTTGATATCATTAGCACTTTGGCACCTTCTTGATCACATTCAGTTCAGAAGGTGCTGTGAGCTATGTTATATATAAAAGATGAAGTTTGTTCTCTAAATGAGATCTTAATCAGAAAAGACAATATAGACATGCACAACTAAAGAAAGTAAAATTAAGTTACTATCTTAGTTGTACAAAATAAAACACAGTAACACAAGAGATGTAATGATTTCTGTATTTGTGAAGTTTTAAAGAACAAGCACATACCCCAAGTAACTCTTGAAGGTGGTGCGACATCCCAATAGGCAGGAGTGGCACAGAGAGTTTTTCTTATGGAGGCACAGAATAGAGCTAAGGAGCTCAGGAACTAAGGTCTGGTTCACAGGTAAACTTGCATGTACCAGAATGGTTGCTCGTCTAATCCAACGTCATGATAAGGAACTTCTCAAGTGCCTCACGAAGATTTTCACAGTTTTGATTCAGATGCCTTCAGCATCCTGAGGAAGTCATCTTAATCTTCCTGCTTTGTTCTGCTAAGAGAATTATTCCTATTCGGGGTGCTTCTCACCACCTGCATGATACATCTCCCCTTCAGCTACTCTTTTCCTTGCTTTCACAAGGAGTCTAGTATCAGAGTACCTATCTCATGAATAGGAGCATGTCTGATTAGCTGTCTATGATTTCCCCAATTGATTGTGAACTTTCTGTGGTTTGTGTGATATCTTTTTCCTTTGTGCATTTCTAGAACCTAGCACACTGAGACATAGTGTTTAGTCCTCAAACTGCCTAACAAAATAATCCAGTAACAAATAACAACTATTGCATCAGTGGATGATACATCAGGGCAAGAAAGTAATGAATAAGCCCCTAAATAAATACCTTAAAAGTTTACAGTAGTCAGGATTTGGGACCAATGTAGAACTTTACCTGTAAGTACTTAGTGCTCTATGGCACAATAAGGGGTAAAGAGTTCTTCACATCCACTTCTCCCTCCCTCTCCCTTCCATTATCAAATTCTCTATTCTCCTGGAACATTCCATAATTGTGACTCTGATCCAGTGCTGTGCTGGTAAACTGGCTCAGCAAAATATATATATATA